CAGAAACCTTCTGACACTAGCCAGATTGCTAGACACACCATAGAGGGTACTCTCCACACAGAAGGGAGCGATGAACTTCAAGCCCAGGAAATTCTCCCCACTGAAGCCACAGATGACCCCACAGTGAGTGCTGCCATCCCCCCTTTTACAGTCAAAGTGAAGTTGGTGATGCCTGACACAGGGGAGTCAGGGGAGATAGAAGCTATAATAGATACCAGGTGTTCCAGATGCCTTATTGGCCTCCCCATTGTTGGACAATTAGTAATAAAAACAAAAACCCTGAAATGCCCAATCAGGTTTGAGCAAGTAGACAGAACTTTAATTGGGGGAGTCCTGGACACCCAAATGACAGAGTTAATCAAACTAGAGATGAGTAGTCACCATGAACTCATACATTTTATAGTGGCTCCAAAGATGTCAGAATCTGTCATATTGGGATTTGCTTGGCTAGAAAAATGGGCCCCTACCATCAAGTGGGAGGATGGTTACAAAAAAATCATAATTGGGGTTGGCCCACTGCCCCACTTCCTCCCACAAAGAAACTGCCACCCAACAGTCCCCATCAAGCCACCAATTGTGCCATAGAGTTAGAACCCAGGGCAAAACTGCCTAAACCAAAGATGTATTCCGTGACACCAGCTGAAATGACTGAGTTGAGAAAATACATGTATAACAATTTGGACAGAGGTTTCATTGAACCTGCCAAATCTAGGTTGGCCGCCCCAGTGCTGTTCAAAGAAAAGAAAGTGCCGGGTTGAGATTATGTGTGGATTTTAGGGCATGAACACCATGTGCATAAAAAACATGTACCCCCTCCCCCTCATGAAGGACTTATTAAACTACCTGTCTAAAGGCAAGGTCTTCACCAAACTAGATTAGAGAGAAGCTTACTACCGAGTCTGCATAAAAGAGGGAGACAAATTGAAAACTGCCTTCAACTGCCCTTTGGGTAGTTTCCAATTCCAAGTCATGCCTCCAGGCCCCCCCTGCAGTGTTTATGCCAGGGGTCAGCAACTGGTGGTCTGTGGCCCACTGGTGGTCCATGAGAAAATTTTGTGGTCCACAGAGAAATGTCACCCCAGGCACCCCCCCAAAGCAATTAATCCAGGCTGCACGGGAACACAAGGCTGCGCCACACACATGACCCACGGGAACCCTCCCCGCCCATGCACTCCTTACCTGGCAAACTTGCCTACTAAGTTGCTATTTTTCCTTTTTTTTTGACCATCAGCTGTTCTGGAGATTTAGATTAGCTAGAAAGCAGGAAATTGTTGCATTTTTTGCTTTCTAGCTAGTCTTTAGATCTTTTAACCTTCCTTAGGACTGAATCTTCTATTATTCAGTGCAAACTCACTGCAAGCAAATTTTATGTGACAGACTCAGGTAGCTGATGGCAGATAGTAGATCTCTGAATGATTCTGTGAGCAACTTAATCTGCCTGTCTGCTTTGCTTGATTTTGGGTAAAAATTGCTTTTTTAAATAAAAAAAATTTCAATATTTACATACATGGTGTATTGTGAGTTAATTTTGTGAGTTTGCTTGCAAGCAAATTTTATGTGACAAACTCAGGTAGCCGATGACAGATAGATAGATCTCTGAATGAATCTGTGATTCTGTGAGCAACTCAATCTGCCTGCCTGCTTTGCCTGATTTTGGGTAAAAGTTGCTCTTTTTTATTTTAAAAAATCAATATTTACATAAATATTTATAATATTTACATACAAGCCATGCCCAGCTAGTCGCATGACCACCAAGCCACACCCACAAATTAGGTCATGCCCACAGACAACAGAACCAGTTGTTATGAAAGTTGAATCCCATCCCTGCCTCTGTGTGTTTTGTGTGTGTGTGTGTGTGTGTGTGTTGTGTGAGTGAGAGAGAGAAGAGAGGGAGGGAGAGAGGGAGAGAGAGAGATTAGATCAGATATCTCTCTCTCTCTCCCACCAATGTCAGCAAGCTACCATCAGTCAGAATTCATATTAATGTTCCCCAGGTTTTAAAATTTGGACACTGAAGTCCAAAAGGTTGGTGACCCCTGATTTATGCAACTCATCAATGAAGTGCTACATCCACACCTATACCAAGGTGTTATGTCTCACCTGGACAAACAAAGTAATAAGTCCAAATTTCCAACTGAAACACAAATAAGCAGGCAAGTCCAGTAATTACAGGGTTAAATTCCTTAAGCCGACAACATTCTTGGCAGTCTCACGCAAGCTGTCTGTCAAGTCCAATAAGGAAGCAGGAACATAAATCACAAGCTGTCGCCACACACAGGATAATTCTGAAGCTTCTCTCACTAAATAACACATTGTCCCGAACAAGAACCCAGAGCTAACACACCCACTTTTATTCCCTGTGGGGCGTGTCAGTCTCTCATCTCAGTCACTGATTTGTCCTTTCTTTCTGCGTTGCATCTCATGCTTTTGCCTCGTCTTTGCCTCGCATCAAACCAATATTCCTCAACCAGAGGCTCTGATACGCCCTCCTGGTTATCTGCCGACACCTGAGGCACAACCAGGGAGGAAGGTCTTGCCGAAGAGGAAAGTCCTGGGGAGGAAGGCAATTCCAAATCCTCTAACAAAGCAGGCTCAAACCTCAGAGCCAAATCCTCCTCTTC